TTGTTGTTTAGAATGGGGTCTACGTTTTGAACAATTTTCGTTTGAAAACTATTTCAAATGAAGAATTTTTAACCATGGAAATCCGGGAAATGTCAGGGAATTTTATTAAGTCAGGGAATAAATTGTTATTTCACTTTTAGTAGTCATTGAGAATGTGGTTGACGCTCTGAACAATTTTTGTTGAAAAACTATTTCAAATTGTGTATCTTCAACCCTTGAAATCAGGGAGTTAAAGCCTCCACATTCTGAGGCAATCCTGACTTTAGGCATTTCCATCGGTCAAGTCCACCACTCTCGTCGGCTCTTTTTCCTTTCCGCTGCTATCTGGTAGTTCCCTCTCCCTCTTCCTCTCCAAGTGCCTGCGAAGGGGCCCGCGCGTGCGCTGCCCGGTGGTGGTCGATTCGAATACCGCGATAGCAGCTCGGAAGATGGGCAGGGGGAGAAGGGTCGGTGGCGACTGGCGACAGCCTGGCGGGCGAGCCGCAGAATCCGCAAGTGTTGGCTCGGCGGCCCGCTTTGACACCTCTTCTCGTCGTCCGAATCCTCGAGGTGACGGGCAGCGGCGGGGAAGGTGCCGGAATGTTCAGAGCGGTCGGTGAGGACTCTCCAAGGCCAGGTGCCGAAACGCTCCACCTCCCGAACCCCCCGCTCCCCCCGGCCCCGGGGTCTCCTACCGGCTCCTCGACGAATGGTTACCTCCGTCGGGTTCCAAAATGGCGGAGTCCTCGAGCTCCAGCTACGGGGTGTTGCTTCGAGCGAGGTCAAGTTGAACGGAGCCGTTCTGCGGCGTGATCGTAGACATTTGAAGAGTGGAAACTCAAAAGCGAGTATAGCTTGACAAATTTTTTAGGGTTGAACAGGCAGGGAACACTAGGAAAACCAGAAGATGTTGGGAATTTTAAAAAGTCAGGGAAAACGCCGAAAATGTCATGGAAAAATCGTCAAATCGCCTTTCTTTGCTCTCTCGAGTGGNGGGGGGGGGGGGGGGGGGGTCATTCAGTTAATTTTCGGAATTTTCAAGAATTAAACATGCAGTTTGTGGCAATTGCGTCTTGACAAATTACTGTCCAAATAAAAATATTTTTTCTCCTTCCCTCGAGGAGAAGATTTATAATAATCTTCCTTTCGGAATATTGTAGTATTTTAATTATGAGATCACTAACTATTTTTATATTTACTAATCTAGAATCTAGTAGTACAAGATTTTATGTTAGATATTTAGTCATATGCTTTATATTTGTATGAACCCGGACAACTTTGCCTCGATTTCGATATGATAAGCTTATAAAATTAAACTGAACCCAAATTCTTCCCCTAACAACCCTTATTCTGGTCATATCCTTCCCTATGAAAATTTTATGGACTAAAAATTTTAAATAAAAATCAAAGACTAATGATAAAAGCCTAGCCAATACTTTCAAAATACTGATAATTGATTGTAATTGCCCTCTAGTACAGTGTATTGTGACCGTTGTAATAAAGATTATTATTGGTGGAACTAATTTTTCTGTAATAGACAGATAAATCACATTTTTATTTAACTCTATAAATCATGATATTCTGTTCCCTCCTTCTTTCTTTCTCCCCTTTTTCTTCCCTTTCTCGGGCAAACGTGGGGAGGGGGGGCCGTAAGGCGCCCTCCCCTCCCTCCCGGATCCGTCTACGAATGTGTGCTGGAAAGGTGTATCAAATTGTGACGAAGAGGGTTAAAGTTTTAAATTTTATCGGAGGAAGTTCTGCGGAGCCTCTGTCGATCGATTTTCGTCGCATAATTTTACTTGCTTTAAGGTAACCATCCCTGTTCTCTGTATTATCTTTCGTGTCCATCGGTCCCGTTTAAGCGCACGGCGCCAAACCTGGAAGTCAGGCCGCGCATCCTAAATTTTTCCTCGTCCATCTAGTAAACCAAGAGGTGCTATGTGTTTATTATTGAAGCGCGCTCTATTTATTTTGCGGTTGTTTTGGCCACGCTCGTTGCGATACAGAGTTCTTTGAACTTCTTGTTGACGACTAATTCTTCTGGACATCAACGTGACGCTACTGATCGCGAGAAGGGTCGAAGACTTCGATAAGGAACGCTCAAGTCTCAACCAAATCGAAACTTTGTGGAGATGCTTTTCCGCATCTTTGTTTGCCAGTGCATTCTCATGCACCAAATCAGCACTGGTCGCTCTTGATGCGTTTGTCCATCCATAGCATGCGCGTAGACAGGGAGGAGGTTCCGATGGATCTGCTCCCCCC